CAAATGCCCTACCCACTGTGCTTTTAATCCAGACTCTACCTTTTTTTTTTTTTAATCTTTTCCGGGATCACTGTCCTCCCATTGTTCATCGATTTGCTCAAGCGGGCCCAGTAACATCTCCATTGGAGACTTTGTTGTTACTATGTTTGGCATATCGAATACATCACGGGTAGCTTGCCAGGCTCTGTAGCTTGCCAGACTCTGCTGTGCGGGTGAGATACTCTTGGTAGTTTGCCGGGCTCTTCGAGAGGGATGGAGGAATCAAACTCGGGTTGGCCATGTTGGCTGCGTGCAAGGCAAATGCCCTACCACTGTGCTATCACTCCTGGTGGTGCTCAGGGCTTCCTCCTCTTTGCTCAGGGATCACTCCTAGTGGTGCTTGGGGGCATCCTATGAAGCACTGGAGGATGAACCCAGTTTGGTTTTGTGCAAGGCAAGCGCCCTGCCTACTGGACCATCTCTCGGTCCCGTGCTTTTAACCTATTTTCCATCACCCACAAACATCATTGCAGTGTTTATATGGGCTTCTCTGGGCTGCCCCCTTGCAGTCAACATCTCTACTGAGTACCCCATGTCCCTTCCCCAAAGTCTGGTTTCAACCAGTCACCACACGACCTAGCAAGGCACAGTTCCCTCCCTCGAAGTCCATCCTCTCGACTTGAAATCCCCAGAACAATCTTGCCGAAGTGTCTCATGTAAAACAAATCGTAGTCTGCCCACTCATCTTGCATTCCTACTAGAAAGCAGAGCCTTTTGAAGTCTCTCTAGCCCCACCCTCATTTCCTCCACGGGGCTGGCCCAGGGGGGCCTTGCTGCCTCTTGCTGCCACAGAGGCTCAGCAGATATTTAAGGAACAACAACAACAAAAATCATCCTGAGGATCTGGAGCAATAGCACAGCTGGGAGGGCGTTTGTCTTGCACGCGGCTGACCTGGGTTCGATTCCCAGCATCCCATATGGTCCCTTGAGCACCGCCAGGAGTAATTCCTGAGTGCAGAGCCAGGAGTAACCCCTGTGCACTGCAGGGTGTGACCCAAAAAAGCAAAAGAAGAAAAAATCATCCTGAGTAGCAGACTACTCAGGGATTGTGGGGTGCTGGTCCACAGCCCACTTTCGCCCTCCAAAGACAGGCCGTCCGAGTGGCTCACAGGTAGAGGGCTGGGCTGGGCTGGATAGCCTTGGGGACTGGCACTGGGCCTCAGTCACCTCTTTGTCCCCAGGATCTATGGTTGCTGAGCCGGACTACCTTGTTCTCCTTCTGCAATCCTTCATCTCCTTGTCCTGTGAGTGCAGGGCCTGGCACCCGGAGACACTTTGCAAGCTGGTTGCTGGGGAAAGAGTCTCCGGGAGCCTCACAAGGCAAAGAGACGGCAGAATCCGGGTTGCCTGGCAGCCCAGGGGCGTGGGAGACCCGTGCATGGTGCAAGAACCAGCTGGGACCTTCTTTTGGGTGAATCGATTGAAATCGAGGGCAGATGAGGGTCAGCCCTGCACACAGAGCCGCCTTCTGTGTTAGAGGTGACTCTGCAGCCGGCACGGGAGGGTCCAATTGACACAGTCTATTTTTAGCCTCCCGGAGACCGTGACCAACATCCCAAGCCGAGGGTAGGCACACCTGCTGCATCCTAATGAGGCCGCCTGAGCGCCTGTGCCAGCGAGCTCCGGATGGCTGCGACCTGGAATCCATACGCCTCAACGTGCCAGCCGGCTTATTTCCCAGAGGCTGCAGCCTAGATACACCAGGAAAATGGGACCCGCCCCCCATCCCCCAGCCCCCAGCTGGGTCCCCTACCTACAGCAGGCCCCGGGGTCCCGAGTGGGTTGTGCCTGTCCAGCGTCCGATGGGGAAGGCACATTCCGGGGGATTCCTTGGTTTTTCCCTGTCCTTGGAACTCCCGGTTTCCTTGGCTGGAAAGGAGATGGGGTCCATCTGAGCTGACCCCGCTCACAGCCAAGAATGCTGAGGCATAGACTGGGGAGACACTTATGTTCAAATAATCATAATCATTACAGGAACTCATTACTGTGCGCGGAGCAATATTCTAAATTCTGTGAACTCATTCGAACATCCCAGCTGTGTTTTGAGATCCTCCCTCCCTCCCTCCCTTCTCCTTCCTTCCTTCCTTCCTTCCTTCCTTCCTTCCTTCCTTCCTTCCATCCATCCTTCCTTCCCCTCTCTCCCTCCCTCCCTCCCTTCCTTCCTTCCTTCCCTCCTTCCTTCCTATCCCTCCCTCCCTCCCTCTCTCCTTCCTTCCTTCCTTCCTTCCTTCCTTCCTTCTATCCTATCCTGCCCCTTCCTCCCTCCCTCCCTCCCTCCCTCCCTCCCTTCCTTCCTTTCTTCCTTCCTTCCTTCTTTCCATCCTTCCTTCCATCCTATCCTTCCCCTCCCTCCCTCCCTCCCTTCCTTCCTATCCTTCCCCTCCCTCCCTCCCTCCTTCTCTCCCTTCCTCCCTCCCTTCCTCCCTCCCTCCCTCCCTCCCTCCCTTCCTTCCTTCCTTCCTTCCTTCCTTCTATCCTATCTTTCCCCTCCCTCCCTCCCTCCCTTCCTTCCTTCCTTCCTTCCTTCCTTCTATCCTATCCTGCCCCTTCCTCCCTCCCTCCCTTCCTTCCTTCCTTCCTTCCTTCCTTCCTTCTATCCTATCTTTCCCCTCCCTCCCTCCCTCCCTCCCTTCCTTCCTTCCTTCCTTCCTTCCTTCTATCCTATCCTGCCCCTTCCTCCCTCCCTCCCTCCCTTCCTTCCTTCCTTCCTTCCTTCCTTCCTTCTTTCCATCCTTCCTTCCATCCTATCCTTCCCCTCCCTCCCTCCCTCCCTCCCTCCCTTCCTTCCTTCCTTCCTTCCTTCCTTCCTTCCTTCCTTCCATTCTTCCTTCCTTCCCCTCCCTCCCTCCCTCCCTCCCTCCCTCCCTCCCTTCCTTCCTTCCTTCCTTCTATCCTATCCTGTCCCTCCCTCCCCCTCTCCCTCCCTCCCTTTCTTCCATCCATCCTTCCTTCCATCCTATCCTTCCCCTCCCTCCCTCCCTCCCTCCCTCCCTTCCTTCCTTCCTTCCTTCCTTCCTTCTATCCTATCCTGTCCCTCCCTCCCCCTCTCCCTCCCTCCCTTTCTTCCATCCATCCTTCCTTCCATCCTATCCTTCCCCTCCCTCCCTCCCTCCCTCCCTCCCTCCCTCCCTCCCTTCCTTCCTTCCTTCCTTCCTTCCTTCCTTCCTTCCTTCCTTCCTTCCTTCCTTCCTTCCTTCCTTCCACACTCAGCAATGCCCAGGGGTTACTCCTGGCTCTGCACTCAGGGATCACTCCTGGTGGTGCTCGGGGAACCACGTGAGATGCGGGGGATGGAACGTGAGTCGGCTGCGTGCAAGGCAAACACCTCAACTCTCTGTACTATGGCTCTGCCCCCAGCTCTCTTCTTTGAATGAATCAGGCCACTCCTGGCAGAGCTCAGCCCTTGCAGCCTGCAGGCTGGCAGCACCCCACACCCCGCCGGGGCAGCGCTGGGGAGGGCCCGGGCATGCGGTGCTGGAAGCGGATCCCGGTCTGGGCATGCGCGCGCCCCCTCACACGCGTGTGGGTGTTCCTGGTTTGATCCAGGAGGCCACACAGCAGGAGTGGTGACACAGGCCTCCCGGAAGGCTTTCCTGGCTTTCAGCGCGGCCGTGTGGCCCCAGGTCCCCGTCCTCTGCCTGTCAATGTCCGTTCTGAATCCCCCCGCCCCGGCCGGGATGGGATCCTGGGGGGCCGCGAAGGTCCTCCCCGCCTGCCAGGATGCATGCGGGCGTTTGCGCCCGGCCCATCTGTGCATCTGCGCTGAAGCTTCTAGCTCCCAGATCCCTTGGGCCTTCCAGCTCAGTCTCCCGCCAGCTGTGGGGGGAGCCACCGGGGGGCACAGAGCCAGACGGGGGTGTCCAGAGAGAGGGACCCCGGGAAGAATTGCCCACGGGGCTGTGGGTGTAGAATTCACAGGGTCAACCTCTACTGAGATGGACCAGCAATCAGGAGGGCGCATGAGTCTGTGGTTTGGCCTTGGGGAGATGCGCCCTGCACACCCCCCAGGCTTGAGCTAACTCCGGGCACTTGTGGACTCCAGGCCACCCACGCTCACCCTGGGGAGACTCTCTCTCATTTTTTTTTTTCTTTTTTGGGTCACACCCGGCGATTTTCAGGAGTTACTCCTGGATCATGCACTAAGGAATGACTCCTGGCGGTGCTCGGGGGACCCTATGGGATGCTGGGAATGGAACCGGGTCTGCCGTGTGCAAGGCAAACACCTTTCCCGCTGTGCTATCACTCCTGCCCCGGGAGACTCATTTTTCAACCCATGACACACCCTCATTTGTCTGATCCCTTGAGGGTGCTGAGGAGGTTCGGGGTGGGTTGCAGGTGTGGGAATCTCATCTTGGGGACGGTGAGGCTGGGACAGGGTGGTGACTGACTCTGAGGCTGTAGGACTGGGAAGAGGCAGGGATGGGTGGGGCTCCGTTACCTGACACTCAAGGTCCTGGGGGCTGAGGGATTACTTTTTCCTTTTTTTTGCTTTTTTGGGTCCCCCCCTCCCCACACACGCACACCCTGCGATGCTCAGGGGGGGTTCCTCCTGGCTTTGCACTCAGGCATTACTCCTGGCAGTGCTCAGGGGACCATATGGGATGCTGGGAATCGAACTCGGGTCGGCCGCATGCAAGGCAAATGCCCTGTCCACTGTGCTATTGCTCCAGCCTCCTGGGCGCTTGCCTTTGCCTCCCCAAAAGGGGGTACACACAGCTGACAAGTGTGTATAGAGGTAAGTCCTACACGGGTTCCATTAGAGATGGAAGTGGGTGAAAATCACAGCTGTTTTCCTCTTGCGACAAGCTGAGTGTCCCTGCAATCCTGGCCCTTAGCCCTCAGCTGACCGCCCCAGCTCCCAGTTTCCATGTGCGCCTTGGGAAAAGGAGGGGAGGGGATAACACGGAGAGCAGGCCGGGGGAGCAGGACCTCTACTCACACAGCCCCCTCTCTTCCTGCAGGTCAACAGCCCCCCGTCGCAGCCCCCCCAGCCTGTGGTCCCTGCCAAGCCAGTGCAATGTGTCCACCATGTGTCCACCCAGCCCAGCTGCCCGGGCCGGGGCAAGCTGTCGAAGCTGCTGAACCCGGAGGAGATGACCTCGCGAGATTACTACTTTGACTCCTATGCTCACTTTGGGATCCACGAGGTAACCCTGTCCGTGCCGGTCACCGCCGGGGGCCACCTGGGGCCAGTGCTGTCTCACCGTGACTTTCAGAAAGCAAAATGCCAGAAGATTCTGGGCAGGAGGGGTCTGGTCATCTTTTCAACCCGGGGAGGTGGGGGTGGGGTGGGACTCTGGGAGGGTCCAAGCGTGGAGCTGGGGCCTGGCCTGGGGGAAGTTGGGGACAGAGAGTCAGGCACCATGTGGGGCGCAATAGCCCTATCTCTTCTTGGTCCTGGGCCCCTAACACTCAGAGACCCAGGGAGAGCTGGGGTGCGGGGGCTTGGTATCTGCTCTGAGAATATACCTGATATTCTGAAACTCAGAGTCTGTGCAGGCTCGATCGTGAACCCCAGAGTTCCTCGGGGCCCCATGAGTCCCTCCAGGGCATGGCCAATATGAGTTTTCAGGAACCCTGGCCAGTTCTTGCCTGCCTCTCCTGGAGGGAGAAAGATGGATGTTTGGTGCAGGAAGGGAGCTCTTAACTGGGGCTGGGGTGGGGGCACCCTAGTGCCTTGACTGCACCCCTCCCCTGCCTTATCATTCCAGTAAACAACAGCATTAAGGGAGCCCTCGCTGGGTGCCAGGCCTGGTTCTAAGCACACGGTCTCTAGCATTGCATTTGATCCTCCCAAGAACCTTCCCAAGAAAAGATTCCTGTTATGTCCTTCGAGATGTTTCAGAATGGAAGATTCAAATACGTGAAGGGAGTGTGAGCCACTAGACCCAGGCTCGGCAGGGAGGGCATTTGCCTTGCATGTGGCCGACCTGGGTTCGATTCCCAGAATCCCATATGGTCTCCCGAGCACCACCAGGAGTAATTCCTGAGTGCATGAGCCAGGAGTCACCCCTGAGCATCACCGGGTGTGACCCAAAAAACAAAAAACAAAAACAAAAACTAGACCAAGGCTTCAGAGAACCTTCTAGTGCTGCTCTGGTGGTGCAGCCCTCCTAGGCAGGGCTGGTTCATAATAGCAGCCCGTAGTCTTTCATTCCGACTGGTCAGTGCACACTAGAGGTGCTTCCGGTCTCCTACACAGGGCATTGTCCACTTAGTCCCATCCTTCACGGGTCCACCCTGTGGGTGGGTATTATGACTGGGTCTCATTTTACGGACGAGGGGGAGAGGCTGAAGAATCAGGCTACCCTCACTGATCCTGGAGCACCTCTGTGCCACGGTCACAAGCTCCTGGGGGTAGAGCCAGAAATGAAACCTTGGCCTTTGGGCTTGGGGCCTTCATTCCTGATCATTCTTTCTGAACACTTCAGCCACTTCGGCTTGATCCTTCATCATCGTCGTATGGAGCTGAGTGGAGTGAGGTCCAAAGAGCCACTCTGCAAATAAAGAAAGAGTTGAAGGGTCAGCGATAGTTCAGGGGTTAAAGTCCTGTGTGTGTGTGTGTGTGTGTGTGTGTGTTTTGTTTGTTTTCTTTCTTTTAAAACTTTTTAAATGAATCACTGTGAGATATAGTTACAGATTTACAAACTCTCGTGCTTGCATTTCAGTCATACAATGATCGAGTACCCATCCCTCCACCAGTGCCCTTTCTCTACCCCCAGTGTTCCCAGTATCCTTCCCGCCACCCCCACTCCATCCCCCCCTAACACCCATGTCCCGCCTCTGCGGAAGGCACATTCCCCTTTACTCTCTCTCTCTCCTTTTGGGTGTTATGGTTCGCAATACGGGTACCAAGTGGCCATGTGTTCGGCCCATAGTCTAGAAAGTCCTTTCTTGCCTTTCATATCACTGATTCGAGACTGGGTTCAATCCCTGCTGCCACATTTGGTCCCCCAAATCTCGCCAGGAATGATTCCTGAGCACAGGGCCAGGAGGAAGCCCTGAGCACAGCGGCTAAAGCCTCCCCGTCTGCCCCCCCCCCCCCCATAACTAAATAGTATCGGGATTTAGACACAGACCTTGCGTGCAGTTGGCCCTGGTTCAACACCCGGTGCTTCTTGGCCTCCCCTCACCAACATGTCACTGGTTACAGCCCTGGGGATCCCCAACCACTGCTGGGTGTGACCCTGGGGGCTCCTGGGGTGCCTCTAATCCCGCAGGGCCTGAGCAGGGCTGTGCATGGCATTCCTGGCCCTATTGGTTGAGAATCACTAGGGAGGCCCCTCCCCCTCGGCCTCCTAAGCACCCATGTGACCCCCTTCCTGCAGAATACCTAGGTGGGGGACTGGAGTGATAGCAAGTGGGTAGGGTGTGTTTGCCTTGCACATGGCCAACTTGGACTTGATTCCCAGCATCCCATATGGTCCCCTGAGCACCTCTGGGAGTAATTCCTGAGTGCATGAGCCAGGAGTAACCCCTGTGCATCACCAGGTGTGACCCAAAAAGCAATATATATCTGTCCTCCCGTTGTTCATGGATTTGTTCGAGCGGGCCCAGTAACGTCTCCATTGGAGATTTTGTTGTTACTGTGTTTGGCATATCGAACACATCACGGGTGGTTTGCCAGGCTCTGCTGTGCGGGCGAGATACTCTCGGTAGCTTGCTGGGCTCTCCGAGAGGGGCGGAGAAATCGAACTTGGGTTGGCCATGTTGGTTGCGTGCAAGGCAAACGCCTACCACTGTATATATATATATATACTCTCGAGTGGAGGGTGTCTTGCATGAGTACGGAGGCTCTAGCCCCAGCAGAGCTAAGCTTCCCCTGCTGGGGTGGGCCAGTGTCCCTCAGGGTGGAGGGTGGGCTCTGGCCCATACCCTCTGTCCAGCTCCCCCTTGGGGGACAGCAAGGGGCAGGGGTGAGGAGACGTGAGTGGGGTCCAGTCATGTCCTGGGCACCTGGGTCAGGGCTGACTCCTGGGCAGAGCGGGCAGTGTGGCAGCTCTGTGAAATCTGCACCTTGGAAACCAGCAGCCTGCCCCGGGGATGTGGTTTAAGCCATGAAGTTCAGGTCACCCAAGGTCAAGGCCCTACATTCCACTCACATACTCCCCCCCATCACCAAGTGCCCCCGACAGCAGCTTACCTGATGTACCCCTTGCTCCCCTTCTCTCCTTTCCACACCGCACTGCCCATCAAGCACCCCAGACTGATTGAACCGCCCCGTGAGTTGCCAAGTTCTTGGCTTTCATGTTAGACCTAGAACACACTCTTCTTTGCTGCTAAAGACTCAATGTGGCAGGGGGTTGGGGGTTGGGGGTCCATACCTAGCAGTGCTCAAGGCTTACTCCTGGCTCTGTGCTCAAGTACCACTTTTGACAGAGCTCAGAGAGAGCCTATGTTGGGGCTGGAGCGATTGGAGCGATAGCACAGAGATAGAGCGTTTGCCTTGCATGCGGCCGACCCCGGTTTGATCCCCAGCATCCCATATTGTCCCCTGAGCACTGCTAGGAGTATCTCCTGAGTGCCAAAGCCAGGAGTAACCCCTGTGCATCACTGGGTGTGACCTCCCCCCCCCCCAAAAAAAAAGCCAGAGAGACCCTATGTGGTGCCGGAAATTAAACCGATTGGGCACGTGCAAGGCAAATGTCTTCATATCTCTCCAGTCCATTATTTTAATTTTGTTTTGTAGCCATACCCAGTGATTATCGGGGGGGTTGCTTGGGGTCTTTTGCAGTGCCAGGGACCGGACCTGGGCCTCCTAGATGCTAAGTACATGTTACACCCCTTTGGGCTAGCTGCATGACTCTCCAGTGTTATTATTAGTTCAGTTCCTTCAGGACTTGATACCCAAGTCCCCTACCCCCTGTCTCGAACCCCGGGCTGGGCACATTGTCTGACTTGTAGATGCGTCTGTTAATCTCAGCCTTCAGATGGTGCCTGGTGGTGTCTGGTGGCACTCTGGCCAGGTGTCCTGAAGGGTACAGACACCAAGCACTGTAGCACTGTAGCACTGTCGTTCCCTTGTTCACCGATTTGCTCAAACGGGCACCAGTAACGTCTCCATTGTGAGACTTGTTACTGTTTTTGGCATATCGAATACGCCATGGGGAGCTTTCCAGGCTCTGCCGTGTGGGCAGGATACTCTCGGTAGCTTGCCGGGCTCTCCGAGAGGGATGGAGGAATCGAACCCGGATCAGCCGTGTACAAGACAAATGCCCTTTCTACTCGTGCTATTGCTCCAGCCCTACAGACACCAAAGGCCGAGAAATAATATTCAACCAGATTCCCCCTGCTGGAACATTGATGGGAGCTTGCACGTGAATCTGCAAAGCCACTGACTTAATTCAGCGAGTCCCTTGGAGTGAAGGACCTGCAGGAGATGAGCAATGTTTCTTCCCTTAGTTACTTGTTCTAGCACAGTCCTTAGTGATGTTTTTGCATCAGAACACACTCATGGACACATCACAGAATTCCCTTCTGCTGCTGCTCTCGCTGTAGGCTGAGTCGCAATTCTGGCTTGCAGGGCCCAGAGGGGCGGCCAGCTGGGCTCTCTGCACCCCCAGAGGCTTTCCTTCACCCTCTCTCGTTCTCCATCATCAGCCCACTGGATCAGCTGACTGTGAACGCGGCTCTTTGCAGCAAGTCTGTTCCTGCCTGCCGCTGGGGCCGTAAGGAGCTGCCTTCTGCACCCGACGAGTCCCGGCCGTGCCTCTGCCAGCACCGTCTGGACAAGCCTCGCATTTCACCATCCGGGAGGAGCCGAGCTGGCCGCTTGGCAGCCTCCTCCGGGCACAAACAAGATGCTCACGCGGCCCCGCCAGCTTGCCGATTAATAGCGATCAGGCAGCATTTTAGGCAGCGAGGCAGGGGGCATTGCAGGGGGAAGGAGGGAGGGGTGTGCCGTTCATCTGTAAACACAAACCGGAAGCAGACCCCGGTGGGAGTAGAGGTGCAGGAGCATGGCAGGACGGGGTTGCAGGATACCTCTGTCCTTCTGTCTGGGGAGGCTTGATGCAGAGACCCCTGGGGATGCAGGCTCCAGAGGGCGGTGACCCAGTGGGGGACTTTGTCCCCTTTGGCCCAGGGCCTCTCAGGGAGGATGGCATTCTGGAAGGCTGCACGAGAGACAGCTACATGTTTCCTGAGG